ACGTGCAACTGACACTATCCTCCTCTCCCAGAACTTTCCTATGCTTGTTGCTTTCCAAATCGCTGAGGTCCTTCCTTTCCTTGCCTTTGATTCTTCCTTTAAGCATCGCAAAATAAGTCTTGCACAATCCCAAAATATTTTTCCTCTTCTTCCCATAATGTATCTTGTACCCCTAAGCAGTAACACCCCTCAGTCTTAAAGGTGCTCTGGAGAGCTGATCATATTGGCTCATAGAGTGGTTGTCAGACCTGGACAGTCCTTTCCTTTAGTCTTGGTCCCACAGCACGCATCTCCTTTCCTCTTGTCCTTCATACAGATAATGGGTATTGAAGAAAACTTTTTGGTACGTCAGTTGCTTTCTTTCAAGTAATTTCTTCAATGTAGCTGTGTTTAAAAATATTCATTAGAAATTAATGAGATTTGAATATTGATTTGGTATTACCACCTTTGAACTAAACAATCACATTTTCTTGTACTACTAGTGGTAAAAAAGTGCAGCTCGGATCTTTTTGGCACTGCATGCACTGTTTTTTGTATTTGAAGTTGTGTGAAAACTTCATCATTCACTCTCATATCTTGGCTGTCAAGTGACTAATGAGACAACTTTTCCCTGTGCAAATGCTGTCAGCACTGTTACTGTGTACATATAGTAACTTGCTTTGCACCTTATGCACTGCTAGAGCTTGTCTGTAGGGTTTGGTTGCTGTTATTCTGGAGCTGTAGTTTCACAGAACATTGTGATGGAGCAGAGCAGTGGAAGAAACATCACTATAAGACAGTTTTAAACTCTATTACAGTGTAAGGGGGGGCATAACAGAGTTTCTATAAAGGCTCTTTGAGAATCTTCAGGCTGGTAAATGTGAAATGCTACTCAATAGCAGTCTCATGATAGCTCATATTCATGTGTTGACCATGGTTGACTTTTCACTGTGTTTCAGTTCTCTGCCATTTTTGTCTTGTGGAGAATACGGACTGACAGATTAAAATGCATGGCTTTATAGATGTTGCAGTCTCTGGTGGTAGGACGGTTAAAGACACAAAAACTAAAATTTATGCAAACAGCTCATTGCTTTAAATTCAGGTTTATGAGAAAAAAAAACAACTCCTCATGCCTTTCATGCTGGGGGATCTAGTCTTAGGAATGAGAACTTTGTGAATTGTGCCTCTTATAGCTTCTCTGATGTCCTAGTTATTTTTTGCTCATCTTTTCCCTCCTTTTCCTCTTCACTCCCACCTTAAGAAGAAAAACCACCCAAACCCACAACAACTGAAAAATCAAACCCAAACCAAGCAGACTAAAACCACTGCCTTTTGACCAAAAAGGGCTTAAGACTGTCCTGGCTAGTTTTTGCTAACAAAATAGTAGTGTATCTTCATTATTTCTAGAATTAGGCTTATCTTTGTATAGAAAACTCTTCCAAACTTCAACATTGTTTCCTTTCAGTTAACTTTTTATTTACTATCACTTTTCCTTTCAATATCCCATAATCTTTAAACTTAAGACCACTATACAGTCTATGTTATGGTAACATCAACAGTTTGGAGTTTTTTTTTACAATTGAAAGGAGAATAGTTTTTAATGAATATTTCTGCAGTATTTTTGTACTCAGTATTTAATTATTTTACTATTGTTTCTATTTAGATTATGTATCTGAAATACAGTTTTCTTCATCTTTAGTAATACTGTGCTATGTGGATAGGAATAGATTGTTGTTTGAATTAATGAGCTGCTTAGAGATCTTATATTTTTGTACCGTATATGAAAACATTTTGGCTTTCTCCACTGAGTGCCCTTAAGTGTTTAATTGCACTCTTATTTTCTTCTCACTCCATATTGCCTTTGAACTCTTAACTCTACTCTGAGTTCCATCAGTGCATCAAACCAGATACTAGTTTGGAGAATTTCAGAGACCCTTTACTGTAGAAATACTTTGTATCAAGATTATAGGAAGCACTGTTTATTCTTTGGTTAATAATAATGCTAGCCCTACAAACACTTTAAAGGAAAACTTTGTCCTTTTCAGAAAATTATTGTCCTAAAGTTCTGTTCCTATATGAGTCTGTATGTATTTATTGCTAAAATAAATACAAAAAGAGGGCAGATGCATTTAGAAAAGATAGAAGGTCAAACCTGTAGTGACACTTTGTATCAAAGCTAACTTTAGATATTCCCCATTGGTTAGCCTGATTTAAAATGTTTTTGATGTAACAGGGACGATTATTGAAATATATTTTTGCTGTTTCCTCCTCTGTGCACTTGGATTGCTAGCAGCATCACTGGTAGATTTCATTATAACCAAGCAATGAAATTTCTATTCTTTCTGTATAGTGCTTTCTGTGAACCATGAAATTATTCGCATGTATGGAATATTGCAAGGTATTAACTTTTTTGAAGCACTATCAATGTATAATTCAAAAGAGAAGTGTATGTAGAATACCCACACCATACTGCTGCATAAGCCTTGTTATAAATTTCCTTTTTTTCAATCTGTGGAAATCTTATTTTTAGGCTATATTGTTTTAAATTTTTTAAAGTAATTTGTTTGACACGTTTAAATTTGCTTATAAACCTAATGTCTCCCTTTGTCTTACATGTTCTGCCTGATCAAATGTATTTCAAGAGTGCGCTTCCCTCCTCTAGGAGAAGCAGTATAGGATTTGGTGAATATGGGGAGTATGAATATTGTGGCTTATTTGTAATGTTGCAAAACTTCTACCATACAGTCTAACATTCAAGAGGAGCTTAAAAACAAAGCATAAGCTAAAAATTTGGAAAGTGAAAGGAGGTGAAGTACTCCTTTTTGAGGATATACTGGCTCTCGTCCCTGAACTGGTGCCACCTGTTCCTAGTGGAGCAATGGTAGCTCTGGGAATGCACGGGGTATTTTCTGGCAGAGACTGGAGTAGTTCTGCCTGACCAGAACTGCTGTTGCTGCTGTGTGGAGCAGGGGAAGGAAGAGGGGACATCTAGGGAACAGACTGTATGGAAGAGGCTGAGGTTTTTCAGGAAAGATGGGTAACAAGTGCAGGGCACACCTCTCTTAAACTCAGTTTAGTCAATTCCCTGCTGACTGAACCATGTGCTGAAAGCCGTTATTTCACCCAAAGTGTCTTCCTTCTGCTCCTGCTTCAGGTCTGTGTATGAAGAGTCTTCAAATGTAATGGTTTGTTTCTTAGGTTATGGACTTGGTAGTGAACATTGGGACATAGGCAACTTAGTCGCTGCCTCATTCTTTGGAGCAGGCGTGCTGCCTTTCATCAGTGCTCTGTGAAATCCATTGTTTGAGGAAAAAATAATCTCATATAATATAGGGGTTTTTTAAGACTCTGGTCTAATCATTGCAGTTTGCAGTCTGGCTTCACCCCCCTATGCTTGCCATAGACTTCTGAATTTAAAGATGGGAAGGAAAGTCGCTTTCCGGTCTAGATGCAAGATGGGTTTTGCCACTGATGACTCTCTGCTTCGGTTCAATGGTGTTACCCTTCTTTCTGCTTTTGTTCTGTTCTCTTTCTTCGTGGGCCTTGCCTATGTAATTAGTCCTGTGAAGTGTGCTTTCCTACTTGCCTGCTAGTTTGATGTGACACTTTAGGGCCCCATCATCCATGCTGATCTCTTTTATGTTTATGCCATATTAATTTTCTGCTTTTGCATGTTCTACAACCATCTGTATGTGAGTGGCTTACAGTCTAGTTCTACGTTCTAAAAACTGTTCCTTTTCAATTTGGAACAGGAAGAATTAAAGTCTTTTTGTTTTTCCTCTAAAACTCTCTTCATGGATACGTAAGAGTCAATTCTTGCTCTGACTAGAGTGGAACACTTGTACCCAATTTTTGCTCTCTCTGATCTGAATTCCACAGATGCCATAATAACTTTACTTGTCATTTAGTTTGATAACTTTGATGTACTTATTAAGTGATATCTCAAGATACTTATCTTCAAGATACATTGAAGCCTCAGAATACTTTTGCATAGCATTTCAAAGATGTAAGGCTGTTGATATGGTTGAAGTCTTGTCCGAAATCTCTTACACATCAAATACTACCATAACTTTCTTCTGTGTTGACAGGTGTAATATTGCTGCACACATCTGTTTAAAAGGCTGCTATAAAGTTGATTAAGATTTAGTGCATCTCATGGAGTGTGTTGACTGCTTTTGTGTTCTGTTGGTCCCTGCCCATATATATATATGAAAACACACAAGCTCTATCACAAGCTCTAACAATGGAAAAGTTAAAATTTCACTTAGTAAGTTGGTATTGAAAAATTGATAGGTATCTAACTAGTGGAAAATCCCACAAGCCAAACCACTTTTCCAAATAAGTTTTTTTTGTCTTTTGAAAGGATAAAGTCAGAATGATTGTCTTGTGTTGGTGATAAGCTGTAAAGACTATTTGTGAAACTGAGTGCATCCTACTTAGCTTTAATAAAGGAGCTGATGATTTTTATGCTTCTTAAATGAATTTCTAAATAAATGGAGCACAGAAAGGCACCAAGTTTAGTATAACATAATCCAAATTAAAAAAAAAAATGTAGCAGTGTCTTAGCTATGCTAACCTGTCTTTTAATAAAAAGTAGTTTCTTTGCATATCTGTATATTCTATTACAATGACAGAAGTACGGCTGTTTCAGAGTAACAAAAAACATTTTAAAACTATGCTTTTGGTAAATAAGCCTGCTTTTTCGTATTCTTCATGTAATGGTTGGGAAGAACTCATCATAAATTGATTTTGTAGATATCTTTTCCTCAAAACTTTCAAAAAGATTCTCATGTTCTGCATGATTTCTCCATAATGTAATGGGATTCTGGTCTGTTAACTCAGACGCTAAGGCAACTGGCCATTATATGTATCTTTACAAAACCCTTTAAAATAAAGCAGTTAAAGAATAGGCAAGTTACCACAGGAAAATAAGGATGTTTAGCTTTCAAGAACAGCCATCTTAATTAGGGTTACATGGAATGGCAACAGTGTGTCATACATCATATCTTTTTTGTTTTCAGTTGGATAGATTTGCCAGTATAAGAATTCCGGGAAGTAAAAAGGAAAGACCTCCTCTGCCGCATATGAAGCAGTCACATTCTACGGATTGGTCATCCACATCTACGGATGCAGAGGATTTTGCTCCAAAACCCCTGTCGGAAAGAGAAATCATAGCTCTGTTTGAAAAAATGATGGTAAGAGTCTTGCACTGATTTCTTTTACTTAAAGGATGACAGCATGGCTAACTGACAGATGAAGCCTTCTTTTGTGCATGTGTTCTGGTCTTTACCTGAATTATTAATATTGTTGTCGTGAGTTGTAATTACATGTTTTTTAGGGTGTTTCTCAGGGGATGAAGTCTTTGAATTGTTTTGAACAAGATTTTGCTTCATGTATATTTAAAATGGAAACTAAAGATTTCTGATTATTAGAAGTAAGATTATGCAACAGGTTTTGAGGACAAACAAGAAATAGGGAATCCTGCTTGCTATCAAGATGACCCGAAACTTTTATAAAGGGATTTCATGCCTTTGAATGTCACAATGTCTTACACAGAGAAGACTTTTTAGGTTCTTGCCTCCAAAGCATCGTTTTTCTGCACATTCAGTCTCAAATTTTCTTCCTTGGCTGTCGTTGTTACTATGCCGCAGAAGAGCAGTCACTTGCTGGACAGATCATGTGGCATTGGTACCACCTCAATAGGTTGTGGGTTTTTTTGACATGATGATTATGGTATTTTGGGTAGAGAAGAGTGACTGCAATCTGAGGAGCACAAGAAGACATTAACAAGGAGAGTGATGCTTAGATTATTATTTCTTTCTCTACCTCACAGCTAGTAATAAGTAACTCTTGAAACATGAAGGGACTACCAGGGGCTGGGATGTGGAGGAAATTAAATGTGCTATAAGAGAAGTACCTTCGTGAAGTTTGAAATTCCTAGTACTCAATAATGTCAGTTTAGTTTTGAAGATGCTTTTGTAGAACTGTTGAGAGATGTGACTGAGATATAGGGTTCAGGATTTTCCTGGTTAAGCTGATGAAGGGGAGGACTAATTTACCATGTTACCAGCTTTTGCATTTGTATCTGTTGTTATCACATGGTCTATTTTTGGTGGTATACCTCAGTGTCTAGGATATTTTACTTCTGTTGCTCAGATGTTAGGAAATGGGAGAGTTTTTTATAAAACTTGAAAGTATACCTCCCTGCGCACAACCCCTGCTATAAAACTCTAGGTTGTATTTCTCTACCATCACACAGAGGTTCTGATAAAGGACAGTGTGTGATGTTGAGAATATGCCATAAAAATGGAAAACTTCCAATAAATCCTCAGAAACCTACTACTGTGTGTCTAGGTAAACAGAAGTGCTTATATCCATCGGTCCTGATGCAATTAATTCCAATTTTATAAGTAATTTGCAAAAATATGTTGAAGTTATGATGATATCCTGGATAATTTGAATGCTTTCCTAGTTTCGTTGAATAACAAAGCACTTAATGGAATTTATCAAAGACAGTTTATCAGTGTTATTTTAGCTATAACATGTAATAGAGGATTCTTCAGATTATCCACACTTGAATGGAATGGAATAAAGCTAGTTTAGTCACAGTAGATTACATAGCTAATTATATATTGTAGCCTGTAGTTTGCTGTTCTGATCAAATTAAGTGATTTGGTGGGGTGGGGTGAACAATTTGAATGTTGTAGCCAGGCTTTTGGAGCTAATTTTACACAACATAAAAATAGTCAATTGGTTGGTACTGAAGGGAGCAGTTTCTAAATTCTGAAGTTTCACTGAATGTGTTACATGATGCTTAGGGTTTTCCTGGGTGCATGCTGCTTCCTTCTCCCAGTCTTTTCTGCAGCGGTGTCCTGTGTGGTTTTGATGGCAAAAATTATGAAAGACCTTATAAAACCAGGCGGTTAAATCTAATAATTAACTGTCATTTAGTTACTTTCATTTCTGTTAGTGCTATTAGGAAAATATCAATGTGAAATGACTTATTTTCCAAAGAGGTCTTGCTCACCTATTAGAGTAACTTGAAATTACTTAAGAGGAAATAAAAGAATGGAGTTGAAATATTCTATAATCTTTAAGAGGAAATAAAAGAATGGAGTTGAAATATTCTATAATCTAAGGCACATCTGATGTGTCCCTTGTACTGCTGAATACATCTAATCTGTATAAATCGGTTGCTTTTAATGATGTTTCATTTGTTAAAAACAGCAAAGGAATTACTTTTTACTGTGCACACAGACAAAATATTTTCTCTAAATAGACCTGCCACTACATCCAGGATTATGGAATACAGTTTGTACTGATAGGTTTCTTACTTCTCCTTTTATTTTAATGTGATTAGAAGTTAGATATTTTTGCATGAAACCGAGCCCTTTGTTTCTCTTTGTTATGTAAGTTCAGAAGTTATTTCAGAAAACTTAAAAGAGCAAATCTGAAAGAAGTGCAAAACTTCTTTAAACAGAAGAATGAACTTTGCAGTAACTACAGGCTAATGTGAAAAGCTTTTTTGTTTTTGTGTGTTTTCCTTCCCCTTAGGTAGGATATACATGCATTTCAATGTTATTATGGAAAAAACCCTGTGGCATATTGCAGGTGAAGAACTGAAGATGCGATAAGTCTGAGAAAACATTGAGAAAGACCTAGCCATATATATCTTTATGAGACTTGAAATGGAGTACTTTGGTTTCAGTGTTCTTACATTTCTGTTTATGTAGGTTTAAAAATACAATTTAAGTTTTAAATAAAATATAGCTATGCTTGTTAAATATACATGTAAAGTGTATTTTCATTTGAAGCCATTATTGCTATACAATTGTATCCCTGTGGAAAGGAATCCTGAGGCACAGCATTCCAAAGGTATTCATTGAAACTTGCAGAAAACCCTAAATTTATCTGGTAATGTGAATCTGGACTTGACATTACTAATTGATAGTATGGGTTGTCATGTGCATAGCTCAACAGATGTGTTGCCTGGTAATAAGAACAGTTGTAAGTATGTTGTGCATTTAAAATAAGGCAACTAATTAAACTGAAATATTACATAAAATGAGAAATAACCTGTAAGAACATAAGATAACAAATGAAAGGCTACAGGGAATACTAACATTGTAGAATTTTTGGCAGTCAGACTTGATTTCAATTCCCCCCTGTCTCCTTCGCCCTCCACCCCACGTTTAACCTAAGCAAGTGTCTTAGATAAAGCATAAATATTTTTGAGCAGTTGTTCAGAATTCAAAGCTTTAGTATTTTTCTGGCTTTGCAATAATGTTATTGAAAAAATATTTAAAGCCATAAATGGAAAAGAACTTCCTTGTCTGGTCTTATTCTAAATGCCTTTTAGCAGTCCCCGATTCTTTATGACCAAACCCATATATCACTGAATTGTAAAAGCCCTGGCTAGTTTATGTATTTAACTGCTAAATGCTTGACCAGTACATTAAAATTTTTATGTTGAGTTGTTGTGGAACTGGTTTAAATTTGTAGGTTTCCACCTAACCATTTAACAACGTGCTAAACAGCCTTCATATATCCTTCCTTTGAGGAGTTGATTACACTAGGATTTTGATTTTGAAGTACTGAATACGCTACATTTGGTGGTTGATTGTGTTCTTTCTCACCTTAAAAAAACCTGCAGTGGCTTTTGTAAGCTTTGTTTAAAAACAGGTAACTTTATTTCACTTTTTTTCCAAATGATGCATATACCCACAAAAAACTTTCAACTTTTTTATGTCTTGGAAGAAAATGATCTCTTTGCATGCAATAGATAGTCCCAACAGTGGTTTTAATGCATGAGTGTCACCTGCTTGGTGTCACCTGCAAACTTGCTGAGGGTGCACTCAATCCCTCTCTGTCTATGTCATTGATGAAGGTATTAAACAGCACTGGTCCCAGTACAGACCCCTGAGGGACACCACTTGTCACTGATCTGGACACTTGACCACTACCTTCTGGATGTGACCATCCAGCCAATTCCTCATCCACTGAATAGTCACAGAATCATTTGGTTGGAAAAAACTTCAAGATCATCGAGTCCAATCATAGCCTGTCTGCTACTAAACCATGTCTCTACCCACCTCATCCACCTGTCTTTCAAATGCCTCCAGGGATGGTAACTTCACCACTTCCCTGGGCAGCCTGTTCCAATGCCTGATAATCCTTTTAGTGAAGAAATCTTTCCTAATATCTAATCTAAACTTCTGTATCTGTCCAATTTAGAGAGAAGGATGTCATGGGGAGCCATGTCAAAGGCCTTACAGAATTCCAAATAAATTACATATGTAGCTCAGGTTTTTGACCTTTGGATCTATGTTGGAATGAATGAATTGTGATGGGGTCTTGATAATAGTTGAAGGTGTTGATTTAATGCTTGAGTCGCCAAGAGTTTAGGCCTTACCTAAAGGTGAATACTATTTTGTGAACTACTCTCAGGATGAAACAGATTCTGCAGCACAGGATTAAGTATTTGGGAATTGAGAAACAGAATTAAAGAATAAATGGACATATAATGAAAAAGGTCTTTCTAACAGACTGGTTTGTGCACATTTATAAATATTTGAAGTTTTAAATAATGCTGTTCTGTAGTTTAGTGTGTGTGTGTGTGTGTGTGTGTGTGTGAAACTGAAGGTGATTTCTAAGAGATTATGCTAGTAATGGTCTTGATGCACTTGTTTATCCTGGAAGAGTTGACTGGTGGTTTTTTTTTTTTTAGTGTAACTTGCTAGAGAAGATGGGTAAAGATTTTTATGGTTTTGAGTGACATCTAACTTATGAAAAGGTGTTTGTGTAACAGCTTGTAGTTGCTCAAGTTTGTATTTCTGTGTATTTATTTTTTTAAATCAGTTTCTTATAGTTAAATGGCTATTTTGCTGAGTGACATTTAAAACTTTTTTTTTTCTTTGCCATATTCTAGGAAGATATGAATTTAAATGAAGACAAGAAGATGCCATTGAGAGAAAAGGATTTTAACACCAAAAAAGAAATGGTGATGCAATATATTAGCACTGCTTCAAAGTCTGTAAGTAAATTTCTCAGAAGTACGTCAAAAAGGACTTAACGTTTACATTACTTCCTATCAGAGAGAAAAAAGTGATGCATGCATGTTTCATTCTTTTGACTAGCTTTTGTTTCTTGTAGACACAAACATTTGTAGGGGCACTATCTCATTATTTTACAAGCTGCAGTGAAAGATATGCACTTGTCTTTGAGGTGCTTCTTCTGCACACAGAGCACTGCTTGTTGTTGGTAAAGGTATGGCTATTAGTGGAAGTGGAAAGATTCTGCAGAAAACCAGAAAAATAACCAGAGTTCTGCTAACAGACATTGTCCAATACTCATTCATTTCACTCCACTTTGTTTAGAGACTTCTTAAAGAGTTAGCTGAAAGCATGCTTCTGTAAGTATGTCTGCATATGTTTTTCTGTAAGTATGCTGTTGCCATCGCTCTTTGTAGTGTGTTCGGGGGCTCCCTGTAGAAGAATTGCTAAGAATAACCAGTCTGGGAGTTTGGGACACTAGCAGTACTTTCTGAAAATTTGAATGGTAGCAGATATTGTATGCTTGGAAGAATTCTGCTCAAGTACATCAGTATTCTGCTAGTACTTCCTTGTTTTCTTGTAATATATAGTGTTTAGATGAAGCCTTATTTCTTCCCTTAAAAACATTATCTTGGAGATGTGGATTGCATATAGTTTAAACCATCATTACTTGGAAATATTGAATGAATTGTCTGTCTGTTGTGGTGTCATGTCTTATTTATGAGGAAACAGTTGGAGAAGGGAGCAACAGTTGTGTTTAAAGGCTGTTATGTGACTGCGAATTCTCATCTACCAAAAGCAGTGTGGTTCTGTTTGTTGTTAGGGATTGTTATGTCCAATGTATTTTCTATGTTTTTGTAGCTTTTTATATGTATTACAATTATTTGAGGTTAGAAACAGCGTCACATTTTTAAGTGCTACATATGCATACAAATATATTTCAGCCCAGAGAAATTTTAAAAATCAGTTTTTGTGTTATGGAGTTAATACTCAAGTGGCAATAAAAGTAGCATTGCTGTAATGTTACTCTACCATAAGTTTTGTTGTTCTGTATGTTGAACATACACAGACTGGGTTTTTAAAGTGAGTTTTTCTTCACAAGATCTTGTTTTTGTTGTGCAGCTTACTCCCTTGTAATGTTTTAACTGGATTAATTAATGCTGACTTCATACTGCATCTGCTCACAGACCAGTTGTTCTTCAGCTGAGCAATTAAATTTCTAGAGGCACTGATGCCTCAAGATATTTCCTGTTTCTCAGTTAACCAAAGCATTTTGAACTTAAGCAGCTTTTCCCATGTAGAAATATAGCTAATATAATCAGTTTCACAATTGCTGCCAAATGCAGCTCTCATTTTATTTAAGCACCGGCAGATGTATCATATTCTTATTATGTTGCAGAACCTTGGTATAACTAGGAATAAGTGGTACTTGGTACTGTGGGTGTGTTGCACAGACAATCACAGTTTATTGGCATCTTTTGCGTAAGGTCACGTTCAGAGCTGAGTCTGAAATGGGATGACTGGTTACTGTCTGGATGTTGATGTGAGTCTCCATTGCTTATGGCACTGTCTTCAGATGGGTCAGATGAGACTCTGAAATGTCATGTAGTGAATTCTGATAGTCTGGCTGGGCTCTTGTCCCATGTGACCTTTCCACTGCACACATTGCTATTGATTATTTTAAACTACTTCCAAAATATCTTCTAACCATCTTAACTATATGTCCTGTCTGAACGACTGTCCTATGTGACTGTTCTTGCATCAAGATAAAGCAGTTTTAGTCACTATTTATAAGTATCTTAGTTATGTCCAGCTTGGTTAGTTTAACGGGAGGAACTGCTGGGGGATGTCACTGGAAATGACAGATTCTCCACCCAGAATATTAATCCATATGCTTAGGTGTACAAGTAGCGCTTATCAACTAGTCTGTGCACAGCAGGAGCTGCCAGGAGAATTTCTGAGACTTTCTGAAATTTCCAGCTGGAGAGCTCCTGTAACATTTAGTTAAATACTTTATTGTGAAGGCTTCTAGGGGTTTGCTTGGTCATCTCGTGTCCAGTCAGACCATTATCTCATCTATGCAGAGACCAGCTGGGAAGATCCAGGCCTGCACACTGCACTGTACGTGCTGCACATGCACAGAGGCATGGCCCTGATCCCCTGTTACACCACAGTTGTAACGATTTCCTCCTTAGTAGTCTGGTCTTTGACATCTGGAACATCTGTTGCTCAAATCTGAGGAAATATACTTGGAGCAGAGAAGTAGTATAGCCCCCAATGGCCCTGCAATGTTCCCTTATCACAGAGCCATACAACAGAATGATTGAGTCTGGAAGAAACCTCTGGAGGTCGTCTTGTCCAACCCCTTATCTAGTCCATTTTTTAATATCTCTGATAAAGGAGATTGTACAGTCTGCCTGGGCAACCTGTTCCAGTGCTTGACTAGACTCAGTTAAAAACATAAGAAGGGGGCAAGGAGGGATGTTTGTGTTTGTCCTATGTTTAACCAATTTCCTGTGTTTTGGCTTGTGCCTGTTGTCTTTTCACTGATAGGGTTCCACTGAGCCTTCTCATCTTGGTGCTAAGCAATCCCAGTTCTAACACCCTTTCCTTGTACAACAGATGCTCCTTTAATCGTGTCCTTTCTGGACTCATTCCAACATGTCCATGTTTCCATTGCCCAGAACTGGACGCAGTACTCCAGATGTGTCTCGCCACTGCTGAGCTGAGGGGAAGGATCATCTCCCCAGACCAGCTGGTGATGTACTTCCCTATGGTCAACTTGTCATCCACCAAGAGCCTAATTTTTTTTCCTACAAACCTACTTTCCAGATGGTTTGCCTCAACACGTGCTGGTGCATGGGATTATTCTTCCTCAGATTCTGGATTTAGTGTTTCCTGTTGTGGATCTCTCTGAAATTCCTCTGCCCATTTCTCCTGTCTGTTGAGGTCCCTCTGAATGGCAGCATAGCAGTCTGGTCTGTCAACCACTCTTTAACTTCTCTGCTAGAAACTATTTCACCATGCTCTGCTTCAGGAGGAGAAAAGTTTATTTTCAATACTTCTTGACAATCTAACAAAGTGAAAAAAATATCTTCTGTATGAAGCTCTGTATAGTAACATAATGAGACTGCCTCACCATTTACAGTGGATGATTTCAAGTTGTTATTGCACTGCAAGTTTAATTCTCTTCAACTCCTGACCTAAGCCACTAGCTAGTCAAGTATTATTTAGTAACTCCCTTTAGTGCTACATGACAGAATAATTATGCTTTTGCTCTCAAAACAAGGAATCTTTCCAATGAAAGAAGGCAGATACAGATTGTGTACCCAAGTATATGCCTCTTTCTTGGAATTTAGGTATGTTCTGTAGAAAATGTATCTATCTTCTTTGTATCATAAATGGATATTAGGTGGAGTAGAGTTCTTATTTTCTGTCTACAAATTGTGTCTTTGCAGCTACTTAAAAAAAAAAGGAGAGAGGGATACTCATAAGAATAGGGTCAACGCCTCTTAGATTTGCCATTTTAATTGCAAATTGTAGAGCTTCATTAGTTCAGTATAACCATTGCTTTGTTTAAAACAATGGACAATTTATATCCTTCAAGTCATTAATATCTGCTGTGGTTTAACCCCAGCCAGCAACTGAGCATCACACAGCTACTTGAGAGTTGGAAGAATAAAAGTGAGAAAACTCGTGGGTTGTGATAAAGACCAATTAATAGGTAAAGAAAAAGCTGCGCACACAAGCAAAGCAAAACAAGGAATTAATTTACTACTTCCCATTGGCAGGCAGGTGTTCAGCCATCTCCAGGAAAGCAGGGCTCTGTCATGCATAATGGTTACTTGGGAAGACAAACACCATCACTCTAAATGTCTTCCCTTTCTTGTCTTCAGCTTTATACACTGAGCATGATGTCATATGGTCTAGCATATCCCTTTGGTCAGTAGGGGTCAGCTGTCCCAGCTGTGTCTCCTCCCAACTTCTTGTGCACTCCCAGCCTCCTCACTGGTGGAGTGGTGTGAGAAGCAGAAAAGGCCTTGACCCTGAGTAAGCACTGCTCAGCAATAATGAATATGTCCTTGTATTATTAACGTTGTTTTTCAGCACAAATCCAAACCATAGCCCCATTCCAGCTACTATGAAGAAAATTAACTCTATCCCAGCCAAAACCAGCACAATATCTTGAATTTGTTTTAAGCAAGATTTGACATCGCAGATGAAAAGATGAAGCAAAGTCAGTGTCTTTCAACCTATATTGCTTGGACAGAAAGTATTTTGTTTACACAAAACTACTTTTGCAGTGCTACGTTAACTTGCCATTGCATTTTCCTTTCTATCTCTCTGCTCTTTATGTCCCCATTTTTCTCTCCATCTGCCAAATAAAAGCAAAACCCAGAAAGTAAGGCAAAAATCCAAACACAAAGGTAGAGTAAGTGTCCTTATGTTACTGCACCAATAGTCATATTTGTGTTGCACTGGATTCTTACAGATCGCAAATACAAGCCATGAGAAGCTGGGATTTATCTTTAGAAATTCAGTAGTTCCAAAGAAGTAGGTTTTTTGTTGTTTTATTTTTGAAGTTCTTTTGCTTTAGCCCTTCGAGCCAAAGCTAGTCTGTTTTTATAATCCCAGTCTCACGTACTTCTCATCTGAAGGACCTTCAAGGGAAAAGTGTTTTACCAAGTTATCTGTGAGAACTCAGGTTACTGCAGCAACATCCTGAATACTCTACTGGTTCTTCCCTCTGTATTCTCATATGACTGCAGTCACCCTTCTGGACATGTGCCCTGTGATCTCTTCAGAGCACCCCAGAATTCATTTTTCTCTTCTGTTGAGTACTGAAAATTAAGATGTTTGCAATGTGTAAACAGAATCCTTTCATTACCAAAATTGTATTTCACTGAGTGTGCACGATACATTTCTACATTTGATGCCTGCTGCTTTTGAATACTGCTTATAAATTTGTTTTTAAATTGTCAAAAATTTAGTCAGTGTTTTGCATACATAGTAGATGGACAACACAGTTACAGGTTTAGGACAAAACTGTATTTTTTCCCCCTGTTATTTTCAAGGAACAGAAATGAAGGTTAGCTGTTAATAATCTATTCAAGTTCTAGATGTGACAAGTAAAAAGTGAATATATTTTCTGTATTTCAGGGAAGTCTAAAGAACAGTCGGAAGATTTCACCCCACGAGTTTATTCAGGAATTAAAATCTGGGTCAACAGATGAAAGACTAGTCACTTGCTTAGAATCTCTCCGTGTGTCCTTGACTAGTAATCCTGTCAGGTAACATCATTAACACATACTGCAAAGATTAATCATATTCTTATTTCTTAATGGATTAAAATTAATGGATCTGTAGATGTGCTTGTTTCAGGGTTTTCCAGATAATGAATATGTATGCATTAGTGAATGATTCTACCTTTTTCTTTTTTTTTTTCATTGATTATGTATCTCCTGTAGATCTGTTTTTCAGTAGAATTCAGTGATCTGTACAAGGTAATGCTAAGAGAATATAAAACAAGTGTAGTGCAGAGCAGTTCACCTTGTTTTCTAGTGCTAAACTCAAAAGTTTTTTTCATTTTTATTTTTGAAATATTCTTTTAACTCTTTAATCTTTTGACTAAATGTTATGAAATTTTTGGACAAAGTAGGTTTTCTGCAAATGTTTCACTTGGAGTAAGAAAAGGGTTAGAAATCTGTGGATAGGAGTACAGGGAAAAGACCTCGTGCTTTTGTGCATGAGAAAATGGAAAAATGAATGTTTTCCTTTTCATAAGCTTACTGTATTTTATGCCAGTCCTTCAAAGCATGCTAGAAGGATATGATGCATTGTTGATACCAAAGTATTGCTTTGATACTTTTGAGATATTAGTTTCTTTAACTTACTGAGATAAGTAGTTCTTGATAGCAACACTGTCTTTTACTTAGTTCAGTCAAATATAAACTGTGGTAGATAGAAAATTTGACAGTTGAATCTAAATCTGAACTTGATCTTAATTTACTAAAATTTAATTTCAATTTGAAACATTAAGGAGAATGTAAGAGACAACATCAAAGAACTATAATGTTTGGATTGGAGTGAAACTCATTAAGTTAGTGGATATAAGGCTTAAGAATAGATTGGAATTTGAGAGTTTTGAATTGGAAGGAGAGTGCCTGTGGCTTGCAAAAACACTAGAGAACAGGTATTTAAGCAGCAGTTTAAGTTATAAAAAGTAATCTCTACTACTTGTCCATGAAAGCATTTTAGTGTACAAATCAAAAGAAGGATCACAACCAATAGAACATATGGGTTCTGGTGTACTGAGTGGTGTTAAGAGAGACCTCACTAGGCTTAAAAAGAGCATTTTAAAAATAGCATTAATAAAAAGCCCCAAGTTCTTCCTTAGGGCGTATATACAAAGCCAGCAAAAATTTAACAGCACCATGCTGTTCTTCATCTTAAATTTGTGGAGTAAACAATTTTAAACCATGTCCCCTTCATTCTGATGAATAATAAGAGTTCATGATCGTTGAGTGAAGATATTGGTGACCTTGATTTTCCAGTCAGCAGCCAGATCTTTGAGAACGAACTTGCTTTGACACATAAATACTGAACTCCAATCTAGCTACTATTAATCCATGATTATTTTTAACTCCAGCCTCATATCATATGGACAGTGAGAAATAACTGATGAAACTTTGGGATTTTACTTTTTGCAAGTATAATTCCTAAGAATAAACTTAAGCTTTTTTAACAGGATAAGAATTAAATTTAGACTGGATCTGGCCTGACAATCTTCACGTTTGTAGGCTGTGATCTATTTGACAATGTATAATTTAGGGTTTTTTTTTCTCTTTTTCCAATTATTATACTTTAATCTACTTTTTAATCTTGTTGACATTACAGTTTCTAATGCAAGGACTGGTTCTACGACATTGTTTTCAATTAGTCATTTTCGTAAAATGTATTTTTAGTTCACAGAGAAAATCTGAATCAAATTGTATTGAGTAGTTTGATCTTGTATTGAAATCCATGGGTTACTGCAAAAAGTAGTATCAATACAAAAAGAAAGCCTTAAAAGCAAAATATATCGACTTATCTTGGTCACTGTTCTTCAGGTAAATAAATGGGGTGTTTTAACTTCACAGTTGCCAACACAGTTCATCAAAAGTGGTTCAGTGATCTATCTGTACAATGTATTACAATTAGTTGTCACAACTATTTCTTCTCCTTCTGTATAATAGCTGTAAGAGATTTAGCTCTTTTTATTAGGAGGACATTTTTAATAAATTGAAAATAGGGGCACTGATAGCCTAATATTTTGTCAGACAAAAATCTGAGTGTTTGCTCTGGATAGTGCAAGTGATCTTCCTTTTGTGAAAGCAGAAGAAAGGGTAGTTGTAACGCAGCAGTATTTTAGGCACTCACTCGATCATTCTCAGCATCCTCAGCTGCTGGATGTAGGACAACTGTCTTAATACAGGATCACAGAATTACAAAATCTTAGGAGTTGGAAGGGACCTCGA